CTAGAAGAATGTTTGACAGGAAGACAGTTTGAACCTGGCTGAGGGCCACAGATGACAATCACCCACCTTCGGCTTGGTAGCACAGCTTCCTTCCACTAGGCCAACGTAGCTCTCTCTTGGTCGTCGTCATTGTTATTGTTGTTTAATGCCATTGAGTCGTAGATCATTGAAATGGATTACATTTTGCCAGGTCTTTCCTTTCACAAAACTACTGAGTGTTAGAATTGCTGGCCTTTTGAGCAACTGTTAGGGAAAATGCAAGCCAAATTCTTGTTATTATTTCACAGTCCTTCCTCATTAGAATGGCAATTAAAAAAACCCAAACCAACAACAAATTTTGGAATTAACAGGATATTGGTAAGGTTCTCTCAAATTTTAATTCCTCAGCCATTGCTTGCATGTATGTAGAATCGTACATCTGCTGTGGAAAACTGTTTACTACACAGTGGGTGCAACATTCTCAGTTTTACACGATATGGAAGTAGGAGCACGAACAGAAACCTGTACTTAACAAAGTAAGTTCATTGTTAGGCCATTCCTGACAGCAAAAGGCAGAAATGAGCTAATTATCCATCAACAGGTAATGGATAGACAAGATTTGTTTTAAACATACAATGGAATATTCAAGTAAGAAAAATTGTGTGCTCAGGAATTCTGCAACTTGCATGAAACTTGAAAACATGAGTCATTTAAGTCAGGCATAAATGAAAAATCCTGTATGGTCACTCTTAAAGGAGTATATTGGGGAAAAAGCTTATTAGTGGTCACCAGGAATAGTGAGTGGAACATTGAATTACCGCTAATGGTGGTAGAAAAATTTGGGAAAGGATCGTGAGAATGTTTGCACAACTTAAAGAATGTAATTCATGTCAGTGATTTACATGTGTATAAATTGTTGGGGAGATGAGTTTAAAGCTCCATAGTTATTAATTGTAAATAAAATTTAAGGCTATAAATCTTTAGCAAAGATTTAACATCTTTCTCCTATGGGGCAAATGGTAGATTCAAACCCCTAACGTTACAGTTCACCACCAGGGCTTATCTTTATCGGCAGTAATCTCATATATCGTAAAATTGTGGCATAATAGGAATTACCAGTTCTACAAAGTGTTTTTCAGTAGTGGTTAGAAATACCTTTATTCATCAACATTAATTTTGTCTGAATTCACATCCTAGTACTACCATAATTGTGATACCATGAGCAAGTTAATTCTTTTTGCCTCATTTTTCTTATCTGGAAAATGCTAATTGTAGTACATACTTTGGGAGTGTGGCTTTTTGCTGCTTGTGGATGCTGGTCTGGATTGGCAAGTAAAAGGAAATTTTGGGGGGGTTGTGCTTTTTTTGGAGTCGTGTGTGATGTGTTTTATTACTCTTTTCCTCCCAAGAGCAGTGTCTCTGAGCCTTTGCCTAGGGTTTAAGTCCTCTCAAAACGCCCGCAGGGGTTTTGGCCCTTGGGCCAAATTTATTAATTTTCGAAAGAATATTCCTTGAACAACACAGCAATCTTTTGTCTGTCTGCTGAACTGAACAATTTGGTGTTGCTGTGATGCTGCACACTGCTCCATAGTCTTGTCAAATATCATAATGGTTTCCCATTATGTATAGTGTTTGGATGAGCTTCCAGATTGAGTTATGCTAGGAAGCAGGAGTGGCATCCGCTTCCTAAAACTAGATGACTCTGGAAACTCTGCAAACTCTCTAAACTCTTCAAATGTACAGAAATGATGGTAGTTATAGAACAGAATTCTGTTCAGAAATGATGTTGGTCATGGAACAGATTTTAGGTCTTTTGTGCGAAACTTACTCTCACTCATATTCAACTTGATGACACTTAACCATTGCTAAGTGAAATGAGTGCTGTTAATCTGGAGGAACACTTCCACTTTATACATCACTCTTTGTCAATATGCAGTATGAAGTAACCTGGGTTTCGGTGGTGCTGAATGAACATTGTGCCATTGGGGTATCAAATACCAGAATGGCTTCCCAATGTGGACAGTGTTTGGTAGAGCTCCCAGTGGCAAAACAGGTTTGGATGCAGGAGTGTCCTAAACCACATGTCTCAGGAAACTATGAACTTGGTGATGACAGTTATGGAAACACATTAGGTCTTTTGTTCATAGTCGCTATGAGTCAACCTCAACTCAGTGGCAATCAGCAACAACAACAACTGTACATACTTTATAAGATTATTGTGAGTTAAAATGAATTCATAGTGATAAAGCCCTCAGCTATATTAAGTTCCCTGAGGGTAGTAACCTGAAGTAGTAACATGAAGTACAGGTAGTATGTAAAAACAGGTTAACTACATCAGTAGTGTAGCAATTACTGAGTGCCATGTACAGGTATTATTCTAAGGGCTTTATCACTATTAATTCATTTTAATTGATTCAGTGACTGGGATAATCGGGATGGGAGTGTTGGAGACAGTGCGATTGGCACAGGACAGAGCAGAGTTTAGGGCTGTTGTACATAGGGTTGCTATGAGTCGCAAGTGACTCGACGGCACATAACAATAACAACAACAACAAATATATATATGTGTGTGTGTGTATATATATATATATACATATGTATATATAGTCTAAATTTAAATTGATACTTTATTGTAAGTTTATAAAGAACTTGGATTTCCATTAATTCATTGTTGTTCCCTGCCCTCCCTCCCTGCCCCCCGAGTTCACTTTTTTCTTTTGAAAAAAGTTCTTTTATTGTTATACAATCCCTCCACCCCCGACCACTTTACTATGCAGCTCTCATTCTGGACTGTTGACATACTTATAATACCTAATCATATATTCCTTTTATACATTGAAACATACGAGGGGTAGAACTGTATATAGTGTAATCTTAAAATGTAATAAAAAATATTTACCTGGTAAATAAAACATCGTTTGCTATTAATCAGTGTTTTAATTATGCCATCTACTTTGAAAAGTACATTCTCAAAGTACATTTTCTGTTAGAATTAAGCTATGTAAATTTCTTTTTCTAGGAAAGAGTACCCACCACATGTCCAGAAAATTGAAATTAACCCCGTAAGATTAAATCGGCCTCATGGTGTTGGTAAGTGTGCAGTTTTACTTTTTACATCTGTGAAAGGTTTTTTAATTGTTTAAAAGGTAATAGAAGGATGAAATTGGCTGTAGAATTCTGTGAGTTACAATAATATTCAAAACCTGTTTCCTAAAACTCTGGTTTGAGAATTTATTTTATTGTCACCTAAAATGATCATATGATTCCAATTTGAAAGGTTTTTACTATATTCATATTTTTTAATAAAAATTGATATTCTTAGTGACCGCTCAAGAATCAGATGCAACATGAAGATGACTTAGTCTCTTCACTTCATAAAAGGTCTCTTCACTTCATAAAAGGGAATTGTGCCCATCACTAATATCCAGAGTTCCAAAATAGCTACAAGATTAGCAGTGTCAACCCCCCCCCCACACACACACACACTATGTTCCTGCACCTTTTTCTACCAATTATTGAGTCCAGTGTTTGTTGCAGTACTTACAGACATTACCCACAGTTGTGGGGTTTATAAGGGAAATAGGTTGGAGAGTAGGGGAGGCAAAGAGTGTCGCACAATGTTAGTCCAGGTTTAGTCCAGCAGTCCCAAACCAGATTAACAAGACATAATTCCTCTTTTAGTGAAAATCCAGGTTCATTTCAACAGCACAAATGCAAGAAGCCTCTGGTTTCCTCAGCCATCCAGAAAACTTTATCTCAGAGTAGTTATGGTCAGCTTTTCCTTCAATCATCCAGCACATCAAACCTTTAACTGTGGCCTTTGTCTCCAAGGATCTTCTGGTTACATCTTCCCACAGTGTCTTCACAGCACTGCTGTGAAATCTTCACATACTCTTCACCATCGTCTCTCACAGTGTCTTTAAAGTCCTTCTACCACCATCTCTTGCAGTGTAGAAAATGTTCTCTTCTATAGGTTCCACAGCTATTTATGATTTATAAGACCATGTGTACACAATTAAGGTAGCTTGGAGACCATGCCCAACAGAGGCTAATGCAATGGTTAGAAAAGCCATTGATAATATAAATCTAGATAAAGAAAATCAATTTGATGTTGAAATATCATTCTTAAGTATTGCTGCTGTTGCTTTTGTGTACCATAAGAGTTGGAACTGACCCATAGCTGACCCTCCAGTGGGTTGTCAGAGGCAGTTAATTTCACAGGAGGAGACTGCCCATCCTTTTCCCACGGAATAGCTGATAGTCCCAAACCACGTGCCTCTGGGACTACAGTGGAACTTCTTGACACTGGGCTACCAAAGCTCTGATTCATAAATATTAGCCCATATTTTATTTTTTAAGAATATATTATCAATGTATTAAGAATCACTTAAGTGCAAAGATACATTCCCACTCACACTGATTTTAAAGAGCTAAAGGAAGGTCTATGTTAATTCAAGTTTCTTAATGCATTGTTCATTTCAGAAAGAAAAGAATATTTTTCATGAATTTATAGTTAACACAACACACTACTGTGATATAGAGAAATAAAATATATTTTATTATTAGTTACTGGGTTGTCAGAACTCTTAAAATTGGCTTTTCTTCTTGTTTTCAATCATTGGTGTTTAACGCTTCAAACCTGTTCTTAAAGATAATTTTTAAATTGAGATGGAATAGACTCAATGCCATATTTTGATTATTTTAAACTTCTTTTCATTTTCTTCATCCTCAATTTGAACTTTACGTATGAATAATTGATGATCTGTTCCACAGTCAGCCCACTTAGTCTGGTTTTGACTGCTGATATTGAGTCTCTCACTGCTGTGTAGTATTCCATTGTGTGAATATACCACGGCTTGTCTATCCATTCATTTGTTGAGGGGCACTTGGGTTGCTTCCATCTCTTTGCTATTGTGAACAACGCAGTAATAAACGTGGATGTGCATTGCCAGGTAATTCTTGACTGAAAGCAGAAAGTATCAGAAAGATGTTTGATTGTATTACATTGATTATATTTCATTGTTTGGATCATAGTAAATTATGCATAATATTGAGACAAATGGGAATTCCAGAATGCTTACTGTGGTCATGTGAAACTTATATTAACCACGAAGTAATTAAACAGAATCAGGAGACACTGCATGGTTTTAAATGAGGAAAGGTTAGTATCAGAGAGTTTTATATTTACCATACTTATTCCACATGTATAGGAAGATCAAGTGTCCTAGTGGTAAGGAGCTGCCCTGTCAACCCAAAGGTATGCAGTTTGAGTTCAGCAGCCCACTTGATTGAATGGGCAATCTCTTGCATGCTTTTTATAGCCTCTTAAAACCCACTCAAGGGTCAGTTCTGACTTGATGGCACATAACAACAATAATTTATTATGCATGGTGTGCTTTAATAATAATAATAAGCTGAAAAACTGGACTATATGAGGAAGAATGTGGTATCAGGATTGGAGGAAGTCTCATCAACAAACTTTTGCAGATTGTATGAGTGTGGTATCTCACAGTAAAGAGTACTTGAAATTAAGAAACTATAGTCTTCAGTATGGATTACACATAAACACTAAGAAAACACAAAAATCCTCGCAGCTGGACCAGTAGTCATTACAATAGATAGAGAAAAGATTGAAGTTGTCAGCGAATTCATTTTACTTGGATCCACATTCAGTATTCATGAAAAGCAGCAGTCAAGAAATCAAAATGTATATGACACTGGGCAAAGACCTCCTTAAAGCCCTAAAACAGAAGGGATGCCATTGTAAAGACCAAGGTGTGCCTTACCCATCCCATAGTATTTTTAGTTTTTTTTATATACTTTTTGGACAATGAATAAGCAAGACCAAAGAAGCATTGATTCTTTTGGATTGTGATATTTGCAAAGAGTATTAGCTATACCATGGACTGCCAAAAGAGCAATTAATTTTGTCTTCTAGTTTCTTCCAAAATGCAACCAGGATGCTGCTTTGAGTTGAAAAGTAGATTGTCAAGATAGTTTGACACAGTCACTGCAATAGCACAGCACAAATGAAGGATGTTGCCAGATTAGTTATGGGTTTGATCTGTTGTGCCACTGGATCATTTTAAGTCAGAATCAACACTGGCACTGACAACATGTTTTCTTTTTCTTACATTTTTATTAATTTTTATGTGTGTACCGTCAAATCATATCTGACTGGTACAGGAGGAGATTGTCCCTCCTTCTTCAGCAGAGCATGGATTCTAACTATACACCTCTGGGATTGCAGTGCAGCTTCTTGCCACTAGGCCACCAGAGTTCGCCAACATGTTTTCTAAAGGAACCTTTCTGCGGGTGGTAGTTAAGTGTTTGACTGCTAAGCAAGAGTTTGATGGTTCTAACCTGCTAGAACGATGCAACATTTGGCATCCAGGAAGATTAAACCAAAACTCTACTGCCATCGAGTTGCTTCTAGCTGTTGGTAGTCTTCATGGTTTCCAAAGTTGTAAATCTTTTCAGAAAGAGACTGGATCGTCTTCTGCATGTCTTGTGGATTCAACCTACCAGCTTTTCATTTAGCTGGCCAACTATGCCACTAGGGCTCCTACCATTACAGTTTTTCAAACCAAACCAATAAGGTAGTTCTACCCAGTCCTAGAGTAGTGCCTTCAGACATAATTGCCTTGATTGTTATGAATATAGATTTATGTGTTCCAGATTACCAAGAACTTTTTAGTAAGCACCCACATTATTTTTGTTGTCAATTTTGGGTGAAGATCTTTTGAGTGTGTATTGAATATATCTCTTATCATTATGTTCAGTAATAAACATAAACTGCCCTCTTTAGTATCCATTCAATTATAATTTTATTCTTCACTGAATTTGTTCTTTTTAAAAAATATTTTCATTTTTTTCTTTGTTGCACATTTCTTTCCTTCTACCTTCCCCCCTTCCTCAGCTCTCTTTACATTGCACCCTTTTCCCAGAGTATTGTCATGCATATAGTGCCTAATCATACATTCCCTTCAGACAGTTCTTCCCCTCATCTAATCTAATGCACTGTTCCCATTCTCTCCCCCAAACTCGCCATGTTTGTCATGTTGTATAAGAGCAGTGTTATATAGTATATGTCCTTTTGTGCCCAAGATATTTCACTCAACATAATATCCTCCAGGCTCCCCCATGTTGTGTAATGCTTTATGAGTTTATTTTTCATTGCTGTGTAATATTCTATCATTTGAATGTACCAGAATTTTCTGTACATTCATTTTTTAATGGGCATTTGGGTTGTTTCTGTCTCTTTACTATTGTAAATAATGCAGCAATAAACATGGGTGTACATACATCTGTTTTGAGTCATGGCACTGGTTTCTTTAGAGTCTATTCCCTGTAGTGGAATTTCTTGGTCAAATGATATTTATTTCTATTTCCAAATTTTTGAGAAAGCACCAGACTGCCTTCCGTTGTGGCTGTACCAGTTTACACTCCCACTAAGAGTGACTAAGAGTTTCAGTCTCTCCACAACCTGCCAGAATTTATTGTTTTCACTGAACTCTTTCTTAATCTGTACTGTGCACTGTGCCAGATGCTTTACATTCAAATTTAATTTTATCCTAGCTCCCCTTTCAAGATCTGAGTGCTAAATTCAACTGTAAACCACATATTTTATAGAGGGGAAAACTAAGCATAGAGGAATTATGTAATTTCCTTGAAGATACGTAGCAAATGGAAGAGCTGATACTGGAACCTAAGCATGTTTGATACACACAGTCCCTTTTCTTAACCACTGTGCTATTTTCTTTCTAAGTCAGAATGTTAACCTAATCTTCATATTTACTTCAATATGTTCAACTAAAAAAGTAATAAAAGTTTTATATGTTTATTTTGAGTAATTTTGTTTTTGTTCAGTGGTATTAGGTTGGAATTTATTCATAGCTGGTTCTATAACAGATTTTCAGAAGCTATAAATTGCATGGGAAGAGATTGCTAATTTTTTTCACACTCAGAGCAGTTGCTGGATACAAATCGCCTTTGGACCAGCAGTACAGTTCCTTATCTACTCGGTCACCAGAACTCCCTGAATTAATGTTAACCTTACAGAAACACTGTAATATATTTACTCTGAACTT